CATAAAAGCGGGAGGTTTGGCTGGCCACAAAACCAGGTTCAACCCACCATTTTTTCTTAAAATGTTCTGTACCATGTCAGGAAAATGGCCATTGTTACATTATAGTTCGTTTCTGTGTATGTTGCATTTTAGTTTTGTGTTTCTGTTGTGTCGTTGTTCTTCTCTTATATTTGATGTGTTTCCCTCAGTTTTAGTTTGTAACGCGGATTTGTTTTTTTTTTCTCAATCGATTTATGAATTTCGAATAGCGGTATACTACTGTTGCCTTTATTTATGATTTACATGCCTTCTTAGTGAAGCATTGGTATTGATTGACCGTTGTGTCTGCATATGGCTATTACTGTGTTCTTTATCTTCGTCTGTCTGTCCAACATTTGCAGTTGGACTCCTCCTAAGCCAGTTCCTGGATTTCAATGAAACTTTTATACAATTTTATTATCCAAAGGTATTGTTAACCACATATTGTACTTTTTTATTGAAATAATTTAGCACAACATAAGCTGTATGAGGAGAAAGAGGGGGATAAAAATCTAGCACCTGCAACTTTTTAAGACTGGATTTTCATAAACCTTTGAAAGTAACTAAAGTATCTATGAACATTATACCCTCATTCATTTTTGGTCTTAATGATTTTATTGAGTTTACAACAGTAAACAATTTACACAAATAAGGGAATGGGAGAATGATCTGTGAGCCATGCATATTTGTTTTTCGTTAATTGTTTTGTTGTAAATTAGGCCGTTAGTTTTCTCAATTGAATTGTTTCATATTTTTCATATCGTGGCCTTTTATAGACGACTATACGGTATGGATTTTTCTCATTGTTGAAGTCCGTACGGTTTCCTATAATTGCTTACATCCACTTTATTTGAACTTTGGTGGGATAGTTGTCTCCTTGGCAATGATACCTCATCTCCATTATTTTATATTTGAATCTTTTTTTTATCTATTGTCATACAAATACATGTATTGCAGCTTTGTTATTTCCAACCGAATGTTCAGAAATTAAAGGTTATTATTTGAAAAGTGGTATCTACACCATCTACCCAACCAAAAAAACCAACACCTTCTGTGTCTGTATTCTGTGAAGCTGATAGTAATGGGAGTTTATGGACGGTAAGTACACAGTACATTACAAGAAGACACCAATCATACCAAACCAAAGCCTTTCTGTTTGGTGAAAAACCAAATTGAGCTTGTTGCTCATATGGATGTTTATAACTTTGTTAATGTTTGTTAAATCTTTTAAGTAAGAGAAACAAATAACTAGGGATTATTAGATATAGACATAAAGTAGTAGATATCTGGGATCTGTCTATCTATAATATTTGTGATAGGGTGAAAGGCAAGCCTATCAAATACATATGTGTACCTTACATATCCTTTAGGAAGCATACACGTATTTGTTTATTTTTTGCCTCCGTTAGATAAACGTTTGAAAATCACGAGATAAACAACGATTGTATACCAAAAACTATTTTGATTATAAAAAATTAGGGATTTCAAAGAGACATTTGAACTTAATTCGTATGTATGTCTTTTAAATCATTATTTATTTCATATTGTGAACTTTTTAAACTGATGTGTAGCTTTTCAGAAACAAGTTTTGAATAAGATTAATTTCATGTAAAGAGTTAGCAGCAAACTGTTTGCATTTTAAGATTTTTATTACAGACTGGCTGCTCATTATTGACAATTTTGCAATAAACATAACAAATAAAAATCTTTAAAAAAAAAAAAAAAAAAAAAAAAAAAAAAACACGGCCTATCCGATTAAATCTATTGAGATACCCTGTCATCTTTTTTAGTATTGATTTGAAACAAATATTTCATGATTTTATGTAATAGTTCCGATAATTATATCTTTTAAGAGACGAGGAAAGTATCCCTCTTTACGAAATTACTAAACATACTGAAATCAAATACGACATACAATTTCTATGATGTGTCATAATATTTTGGTACTGGTTGATGATTTTTAACGGAACTTTGACTTAAAGCGACATACAAGGCAAATTTGGTCATGGATGACCCAATAGAATAAAAAAAGGAAAACAAACTTTTAATTAGATATAACAGTTATGCGTATTGACGATCCATGTAAAGCAGTAAATTATTTTATGGATGTACCGATGAACTCGCTTTAAACCAGTTTTAATTACAGAATTAATTTGAATGATTCAAATGTCGAACATTATTTCTCCGTAACGCAGGTTATACAAAGAAGACACAATGGTTCCATAGATTTCTATAAAAACTGGATACACTATAAAAATGGTTTCGGAAGTCCAGCTGACGAGGTTTGGATTGGTTTGTATTGCAATTCCTTGAATTATTTCTCAAAAACTTTTCTATACTTTAATTTCTTGCACTTTTCAGTTGAAAAAAAAAACCTGTAAACTCTTTAACATTAACAATTAACTCAGAGATTTATGAGAAAAAAAAAGCCGATTAATTTCTTTTCTGAAACAAAAAAGTAGGTTTGCTTCATATCTTGTCTTTCATCTAGAAACTGACAGTTATGGTCGGTTGAGAACTAAACTTTATGACAAAATACAATTTTCCCATTGATAGCGGTCTATTATTTAATCACTAATATTTCAGAAGCATCTGTTAACGATGTATATGACTCTCCCCTATTGGTACAATATATCAGGGATTGCGTTTCCTATCCTGATAAACGAATTTATGTCTACAAGGAACCTATATTAAACCAAGGGTTCTCAATGGTAAAGTTGACGCCACTTCCTCATTTAGTGTTGCCATCATGAACTGTCAGCTGACGGTTATGGAACATCTGTGTCAAAGATGCCATCGGATAAATTCTTTATTTGTCGCAGCACAAGTCCTCGTTTCACCACTTAGGAAATCACCGAATGCAACATATTTCTGGATTTCTACTTTCCATGAGCATTGCAACAAGTGCCACCAGTGAAGCAAGAAACTGATTATCATTCCGAAGCATCTGAGTTCACTCCTAACTTTAAAGGATTTCATGTTGTTTTTCCATAGTTTTCTGTGCTATTTTTTTTATTGTGTATTTTTTAATGTCTGTGTCGTTTCTTGTGTTTAAGGTCTTGTATATTTCTTAAAAAAAGAAAAAAAGAAAAAAAGTTGTTGTCATTTCAAACTTGTCTTGCTCAATCTTTGGTTTTTTTTTTCTTATATATTTTTTTTCTTTTAAGGAAACGACTTAATTCATCAAATAACATCAAATGGAGACCATAGCTTACGATTTATCATGACTGACTTTGAAGGCGATACAAAATATGCCGACTAAAAAACTTTCAGCATATCAAACGAGACGAGTGGCTATAAACTTTCTGTTGAAAACTATTCTGGCGATGCAGGTACTATAGAATAAATCATTTCATTATATGTAACAGGAAAATTAGTTGATCCGTGATAATGTATGGGCACGATGTCACTTCATGACTACTTAAATCCAGGTTGTTGTTAATTGTCATTGTTTTACTTATCTTTCTTTTTGGCTACGATAATGTCTATTATATTCGATGTGTTGTTTTTGATAGCCTTACAATCGGATATCTTCTCCTTACTTCCTTTAAATAATTTGACGAACCACCTGCTTCCTTTCCGTTCTGTAAATTATACAGTAAAAAAAAACCTTTTTTTTCTACCATAACCCTGCTTACAAAGCATATCATATTAAAAATAATCTTACAAATTTAAAAGTAACCGCACCAGAGGGGATAACATGTTCTTGTCTTGATACACATGTGATATTTACCACATGCATACATTTATATCAGACAAGTTATGATAAAGATTTTCAATTGAATTAAATACTAATATGCGTTTTGCAGTCAATAAACTTGAAATTTTTTAAGGTGTACATATTTGTCAATAAATAAACTGTAAAATGGGAATAACGTTAATTTGATGCTTAACAATATTGTGTAATAGCTTGCCAAAAATATAGCAATAAATCAACAATTGATATGTAAATGCAAAAATGTATTTGTGATTTCGCTGATATATGCCTTTCCCGTAAAAAAATCTACGATTGTTGACATTAGGACGCATGCAGAGGCAACCAATTAAAAAAGAACGCATCACAAGTTTTTGCTAGATCTGCAGAACGAGGTTTTACAATACTGGGTAAAAGGATTAAAAAACAATTTCACTTTAGCTGCGATTTCACTGCTGATTAAGAATTGCGTTATATCTGTCTCAATCATGTTTTCCATTCACGATAAGATTTATTATCTGGCTTTTGGTGAACTTGATTTGAAACCTCTTATTATGTGACTACATAAACATATAACACTTTTTCTGCGGATTAGTTCCGATAAACTATGTAACATACGAAAAATACTACAGTAAAATTTTGAGACAGCTTTTGCGGATTTGTGATGTTACTTTTTTCGCAAACCGACTGACCAGTAATACTTTCCTCCCTTCATTGATTATTCCAAGTTAAGCTTTTATTCTTATCTGATATAGTGCAAAGTATGTACTTCTTCAGATTATGTTATTAAACTATACAGATTGCATATAAAAACTCGAGAAGATTCCAGACAGGGTTGTGTCTTGAAATCCATATAATTAAAAAGTATGTAAATAGCTAAATATTAATAGCTTACTTACTGCATTTCAGGAGATTCCTTTACGACGCAAAATGGACAAAAATTTACCACAAAAGACAGAGATAATGATCCCTATAGTGGAAACTGTGCAACTCTTTACACCGGGGCATGGTGGTACGGCGCGTGTCATTCGTCAAACCTTAACGGGAAATATCATCACGTGTTTAAGAGCCCGTATGGAACAGGATTAAATTGGTATACATGGCATGGCATTCACTATTCACTTAAATCAACAACTATGATGATCAGAAAGAATACAAAGTAGATAGTTATTTTTATAAAAATATAGATTTATAATTGTGTCTCTTTGTTTCTCCTAATTTACACGGTTTTCAAAACGAAAGTTGATATCAGTTGAGATACTAAAAGATTAAAAACTAACAAGTATTATACATTTTCTCATTTATTCATGATCATGAAAACATTTTTTTTTATATCCGTATTCCATTAATTTTTTTTTGCTGACCGGTATTCATACAATCGTTAAGGAACTATTCATCAAATGTCATAAAAAAATCTACCACATCTGGAGTGACTGTCTTAGAATTGCATGGTTTAAGTGGAGAAAAAAGAAAACATGACATCTAAACCTGCTGAGGTTCCAGAGAAACAGAAGAGAACATACAAATCTATACGTTCGAACCACTGCTAGTTCTAGCAAACAGGCAGACTGAAACAACTCCGACCACTTAAAAAAAAACAAGTTAGAAACACATTTAATCAAATACATTAATCAATAGTTTGTTGAAAAAGTCGAAACACGGTGAAAGTAAATTCATAATATGGGAAAAGGGCCGATTATGAATAAAGCTAAACCCTCTCGGCTTGATCAAGAATTCAGGATGATGTTGAAGATGATGAGCCATGCATTGTTTGTAGCAGAAAGTTGTCGATACAACTTGGTCTGAAAATTTTAGTAAAGTTCGTTGACAGATTCCAATGTTATAGATGTGACTAGTGGGGCACCAGATATACTACACTGACATTAAGCTTGAAAAAGTGTATTTTAGGCAAAATAATGCAATATTCATAAAATGGTGAAATATTTCGGTAACGAAGTACAAATGCACACGAACAAATCCCAAGGGGACGTACGCGCGTCCAGCATTGTAGAATTTATTCGACGAAGGCATGTCCAAACTGATCAATTCAGGACGTTCAATTAAATATATGCATAGGAGTATGTCAGTCTTATAGAAGCATTAAAGCCCTTGTTCTTTTTCTTTCTGAGGGCTTCCATGTGGCTTTGTCTATGCAAATACATAGCAAGTCCCATTGACTCCAAGAAACAGTATTATAACTGAAATAATTACCATAAGTTTGTCATTTAATTTTGGGGAAACTTTCCCTCTGTCGCCATTCCGAGTTTGAAACAGGGACAGGTATTTGAACTAAAGGCTAAGTATTATAAAATACATGATTACTTGAAGAATGTTTATAAACAATTTTAATGATCTATCATTCAAATTTTTCATATGTTATTTACCCTTAACTGAAAAAAGTAAGTTTTAGGCGAAGCCGACTGACTCAATGTTAATTAAATACGTTTGCATATAGTTGCTATGCAAATAAAATTTTAGTTTTTACTTCAAATGATTAAGCTATACAAAGGGAAACAATCCAATCTCAGTTATCCAAAACAATTATATATGATTTGTTGTGAGAAAATGAATATCTGTTATAAATATTGGTTTGTTATATATAAACCATTCACATATCCTCCGCAAAGTCTCATTTCGTTTTTCTCACTAGTTGAAGCATAATTGATGACAATATAATGATATCTAGCATGATGAAGCCGCATGACGAAATCTTTATACAGGACAATTTAATCTTCATGAGTTAAGAATTATATCAGCATTTAAAAACATTCTTTTCAATGAAAATATGCTACAGGTTACGTAATTCGATGTTAGTTTTTTGCACAAAAGCTATGTCAGTAGTAATATTTATTTTCAGTAAGAAAAAATCATTATTGGATATGCAATACTCTTTTGTTTGGAGTCTGTTTACTATTTTTAAGAATTTGCGTTCAATATATTTACATAGGTTTACACGTGAAAAAAACAAATTGCTTGCACGCAAAAATAGTGAACACTATATATATATATTCTTGTTCAGTTGGAGAATGAGAGAAAAAGTGGGATGACAATATATGACTACCCCTGTGAGCCTCCCATATTGGTGATCATACGTGATGTGTTAGAAATTTCATGATACTTGTTACATGAAATGGTGAATATTTAAAAAATATTAAAAAACAAAGAAATTTAACAAAAATAATATAATTTGATTAAAAGGTACTTAGGTTTCCATTGTCCGCAATACCGCAAAATTTTTTATTGATATTATTATTTAATTTTTTTCAAAGAACTCTCATAGATAAATTACATTTAAGAATGATATTAAGTGTTTTCTCGTGTGTCATAGTAATATCAGTGAGCGAGATGTCTCTCTCTAATTTTACCAATCATGATCCCAGTAAGGAAAAAGATAAAGATGATTTGTGCATATCACTTAAGTAAAGGGCGTAGTTTCCTTATCTTGAGCTTTTTTCTGGGTAAAACTTAGCCTAATCAGCTTTAAACATGCATATTCTGTTATTCAAATAAAACAATATATAAACATAAATAGTTGTGGTATGATTGCCAATGAGACACTTGAAATATCCGCAAGATACCAAAGGACGTGGATGTAAGAAAGTAGAGGTCAACTTAAGGAATTCAACAATGAGCAAAACTCATACCGTAAAGTAAGCTATAACAGGCCCTTGTATGACAAAATTTGAATCAATTCAAAATAAAACCAACAGTCTGATTTATGTTAAAACAATAAATGAAAAACAAATAACTATTATTCTTTACTTCTTCAACCAAACCAATTTCTACTGGGTGTTTCATGACCTTGACTACCCATTAACGAGTGTCTCGCATGGCTGGTCTTAGTTTTTTTTACAATGTTTTGCTATTATTTTAATTTACTTTCACCAAAAATATGAAAAATCTCAGAAAAGACGAAGTATTGAATTGCAACAAAGGAAAAACGCCGGGAATTTTTTTACAAATGTAAAAAAAAATGTTTTGATAATGTAAAATAAATAAATAATTCAATAAATTAAAGCATACTAAATGCTGGAAAACAGTGACATGAAAACAAGAAATATCCCAACAGAAGCTGGAACAACAAAAAAAAACTAAACAAGGATATGTAGCAACATTTTGCCGTTCAACCTGCAGTTCTAAATACAGAATTTTGATTAGCAAAAACCGCAGTATATGATTCAAACATAGGAGGATATAAAATAAAATACTTCATTCCTTAAAAAAACGATAGAATGTCAAAAAACATTCAAAGTGGTAGAAAATAAGAAAAGGAAACCAAAAATGCTTAACTGCTAAGCTTGTGTGTCTGTCAAACATAGGATGCCTGTATCTTTGGAAAAACTCGTGTTGTGCAGATACAAATGTATAGTAAAACCACATCCCAAAATTTATGATGCAAACAAATGAAAAAACATTACGAATTGAAAAGTACGAATTCATGTTTCCACATTTCCGGTATTGCTTCATCTGTAATATGAATGTTGTTTGTAGTATTGTTGCAGTTAATCGTATTACAACATTCACGTTATCCCTGGTATTGTGGTATTTTGCACCAATTAACTGAAAGAGGAAGAAGCCACATGTGGCGAGAGATGTGGTCAATATAATGAAATGTTTCATATTCATAGTGGTTCTTGGTGTTTTCTTAGGCTGTAGCTGACCAGACAATTCATAAAAACATTTGATGATCATAAGAATTGTTACGAAATTTCCAAAAAGAGAATAAATACTGTTTATCAGGTGATATGGTTTAAGTTCATCCACATAAAGAAAAACGCATTGCATTATACTATATGAAAGTGTATATAGAATACCAAAAACTACGCAACACAGCGATTTTTTATTTGTAGAATGGTGTGATGTTGATAAGGTTAACGGTCTGCTGGAAAGAAGTGGCTGATTTTCACAGCTTTGTTGATGTGATGCTGAATCATAAGCATGTAAATCTGCTTGATCTTTTGTTTCTGTTATATACTTAGGCCACATCTCCGAGATGAAAATCATACAGAGTAAACAGTATTCTAGTAACAATGGTTCTAAGAAAGGCTTTAGGATGGCAACTGTCTGATAAGCTGTCGTTTTATTGTTACATGTATTATCGGTTTGATTTTTCTCGAGTATAGTCAGCATTTGATCATCATAATACATGTCAATAGTTCTGTGTGTCCATGCAGATATATTGGCCACAAACATAAACATAAGTATATAGTAAAAATAAGTCATACTAGCAAATCTGAATCTGGAAAAATAATGAATAAATGCTGTTTGACTGATATCAAATACCCAAATGAAAATGTAGTATAATATAGGTTCAACCAGCGACGGGTATTGGTCACACTGGATATTTACTGCTAATTTCGTTGCTAAGTATACAATATTTCCAATGCAAAAACCCCAAAGAAATATTATCTTTAACTTGTCTGTTACTCTTGGTTTCCTTGGATATTTCCAATGGCTACGATAGTATACTAACACACTGCAGAAAATTAAACTAAATGTAGCAAGAAATAACAAACCAATCATTAAATATCTGGAATTTTCGATTGGAAGAGCTATACTTGTGACAACAACAATTATAACTATAGTTGTTAATAAAACGACCCCGGATATACTGCCATCATGTACTGCATAACTGCCATTTCTCCGGTCCTTAATAAGTCCCGCTGTAAACGGAAGTACAAATGCTGCTCTCAAAATTTTGTGGAGACATCTGATCATGGTGTATTTTTTCTACAAAAATTAAAAAATAACTAACATGATTATTATTATTATTTAGATATGAAACAGAGTAAACATTGTTTTCATGTTTTTAAAATGCAAAGATTTATACGGATTTGTTTTAGGTAACAATTCTAAATGTTATACAATTAAAAGAGAATTATGATTAAATGATTGAACATGCAACAGTCCTTTGAATTTATACTGATGATAATAAATAAAACAAACCCTGATGGTGATTCGCCAATGTAATCAAGTTAGGGAATTGTGTATACTCCGCAACGATGTCTAATCTAACAAGGTCGGACCAGGATGATAGTGCAAAACAATTATGAATTCGCTGCATGTGTATTCTAAATGTAATGAAAGTCTTCCCTAAACACAGTTTGTTTTTGGTTAAAATATTAAGTATTTCCATAAAAGGTGAATTACACAACTCGAAACTATTACTAAATCAGTTTAATCAGAATAGAGGAAATAATAGAATATATAATAGTTAATTGAAATGAAAATAAACGGTACATCAATGTATGACAAATTTACCATGCATTTGTACATTTGGAATGTTTATCAATCAAAAATCAATCAATCTGGACTGCATGATAAGTACCTCCTTAAATCAGTAGGAGTGGTATGCAGTTTTAATACAAGTCATTGAATGAACAAACAGCGTCAAAAAATGTCATACAGATTATTGAAAGCAGATTTGAGTTATCATGACCCACATATATTTTTTATAGATTTTCAAACGAATGTCAATGAAATGTGCACGGTGTCTGTTTATCTAAACATCTTTGGCTCAATCATCTACTCTTTCTTTTCTATACTTATGGAAAATACTTAATGATAGATAAGTGCAATTTTGAATTTCAAAAAAAAAAGTTTGACGTATAGTTCTTTATACCATGAAGACTGTGCTATACTTCCAACGATATTTTACAACCCCATCTTCTTGAAAATCCTGTCCGTAGGTCCGTAATACCTTTTTACTGCCCTTTATAGAATTGTCATAAAAACCATTCGGCTGCCTCAACTCCCCTCTTTTTGAAAATTCTGTTGAAAATCCGCCTCAGCCAATTATGAACACTTTTAAGGGGTTGAGCGAGGAAACCCTCAAGGTTTTACATAAAATACTACAAATGGCTTAGAATGTCATCTCATTTTCCAATGCATAACACTTTGATGATGTGTTACATAAACAGCAGCAGGGTTCAAGACATGCGCGTTAATGGTCATCCTGTGTCTTGTGGGTAACTGAACTGTTTCTGGTCTACCAGTATATAGGCAAACGGATAGATTTGTGCGCATGAAGTATTGTTTAAGCCCGCCCACATTTCGTGATTGTACCAATTCAGGTTTTATGGATCATGTGTTTTGCATTGTTGTTTGTTTTTTTTTCTTGGAGGAGTCGGATGTTGTTGGTTGTATTGTCTAATATTTGTGGTAATACCTATTATCCTTGTATGAATTAAATTGGCCGATAAAACATGTTAACTGCTGTCTGGTTGTTTCTATACAGTAAGACACACGATGTAAGAAACAACTAGAGCACGTTCAACAGTCCTATCTTAATAAAAAATATGCTCTTATTTCCTTAAAAAGTTTTGACAGTAACCCCCTCCTTTAACATAATGTTCAACCCCCAGTTTAAAAATTCTGTTGAAAGATCAATACTACTTCTGCTAACGTTGAACATCTTGTAAAAGTTATAGTTAATCAGCCTTTCTTATTTAAAACTAGACATTTGTTTACAGTTAATGACTGGTATAGCTTTAGTAAACTGACTTTTTGCCTAAATGATAATTGTTTGAAATCGTCATAGTATAGTTTAAATCGGTTCGATTAATTTTTGTATCTGAATTTTAGGACATATTTAGTTATAAAATAAGTCAATTTTGAAATTTAAACTATGTAATCTGCTCTTTCGAGTCGAGTACAATTACATTAAATATTTTTTAACAATGTACGCATAACGTTTTTATATTCATAATAAATTTTCCAAAGTGACTAACATTGCTTGGACACAAAACTAAAAAATGACAACGAAATGAGTTGTGACATAAACAGTAACTTTATTATTATGATATTTGTTCATAATAGTAACAGAATACCAGGAGACGATATTCATTTTGTCCAATGATTGTAGGTTGTCGGATAAAATGCAGATACATATTTTGAAACATGACAACACGAGGAAAGACCGAAATGGAAACATGTGTGCATAATTCAATATTTTTCTTGTTTTCAATAGCTAAACTTGACATATTCCTATAATTAAAATTTTCAGCTGTTACGTGGTATTTCGATCAATCAACCCATCTCTTTAATTAAAGTATCCACCAGTCACATTATCAACCATGTGACCAAGTGTTCCGGATCATCCGGGCACGTGAACCCATTAGGTAATTCGCGTGCCGATACTGTAGGTTAGCTGCGATCAGCACGTGACAGAACTGTCGGCTGTTGCAAAATCTCGCGTGTGTAAAATATATCGGCACGCGCTCCTCCATGGTATAGGTTATTCCCAATCATCTAGTTTATAACATTAAGAGGATTCTGTGATTTAACCATTTTAATATCCGTCAATGCACGTGTAAAATGAATTAATTGCATGTGGGATAATCTTGCTATACTGCATTAATTAAACAGTTCTCGTAACATTTAAATCCTGGACATTAATATTTTTCCATTCTGGGACAGTTTTCACTGCATGGGCATTGTCAGAATTTATTCTCAAAAGTTAGCTAACATGGAATCGGATAAATCAGAAGGGGTTAGTAAAATTTGTTCATTTATTCATTTATGAAATGATACATTTTTGTCAAATTTTTAGGAGCATAAATACGTTTGTGTACCCTTAAAGCTTTAAAAAATTGCATATTAATATGATGATTTAACAGAGAATAATGAAAGTTCTTCTGAAACAAATGTGATTTTCACTTTGTGATTCCCAAAATCACTTAAAATTTTGTCATACAAAAAACTAGATGAAGAAATAAATAGGAAACATACGAGAATTACCGTTATTCTTTAATTTAATAATAACAAAAATAATGACGTCAAAATTAAACATGTAACATCTTGTTTGGCGGCATTCCTAAAACATCACTAATGAATCTTTTAATAAAACATATCATGGTTTCCCCTTAATATAGTGTTGCAATTAGAATTTCCATTTTGTAAAGTGAAGTTTATAAATTTCTGTCCGAAATATAGAAACTCAAAATATTGTACGCTTATTGTTCTATTTAAACTTTTTATACCAATCATTTATGAAACAAATGTGTCTTTATATTTTAATAATCTTAAATGATATATAGTTGCATTAAACTTAAGATGCATTTAACTGTTTTACAGGATCAAACTTCCCACAAAGTAATAGAAAAGAAAAGACGGGACAGAATAAATTCGTGTCTGTCTGAACTTAGTCAGACTGTTCCAGCGGCATTCTCTAAGCAGGTAAGAACACTACTAATATATATAAATACTCTAAGCGTTATGTTATATAAAAAGAATTGAGGTGCATGTTATATCAGTTTATAAATTTATCACGTTATTGTGTAAGAATCTCTTTACCTCGTACTAACCTTTCTTCGAAATGAAATGAATATTTTGAATAATATTTTTGAAAATATGAGTCACCCATCCGAGACCCGATGATGCAAGTGAATCAACAATACTGCCCCTCTCTCTTTTCTCGACAATTTGATCTTGGATCTGACTGTTATGAGTACAATGCAAAATAGATCGAAGTAAACTCAATATCAAATTATAAGGAGGAAAATGGAAACCTCCTCAAAGAAAACTTTAATCACAGTTGAGGTAATTTACACATGTTGGCCTCTTTGGATTGAATTTGATTTTCTTTCAGTCACCTTAAGCGTCGCACATATCATATTCGCGAATATCTTCACTCCATGAAATAATTCTGTTATAAGATTTTTCAAGTTGTATTGAATTTTAACTTTCAAATGACATTTTATTGTTATGCAATATTTTAGAATTTTTATTTTATGCAATATTTGTGAATTGGTTAACTCACCATCCCATCGGTATATAATGCCATTTCACCATACACCAGCATATTGTCGATTACCGTATGTTAACTTCTATACTGTATGTCTTTTTTGTATTGTTGGGTTGCTGTCTTATAGACATATTCACCTGATATACTTACATTTATACATATTGACTTGATAAGAATATATTTAAAAAATCGTCCTGAACATGCATGAAATATTTGCCACTGGACGTTAAGCAAACAACAATAAATCAAAAGAAGCTAAATTTAGAAAATTATCTCTAGAAACGCAAAATTCATTGACAAATAATATATTGCTTGGACAATTTGTACTTTAACGAAAAAAATATTTTATCAAAGTTTTCTTATACGAATTATAAAGCATAAGAGTCTTAGTGTATAAGGAAATTGTTTACCTATAACATATATTTCAGACTTCTGGAAAGCTAGAAAAAGCTGAAATATTAGAAATGACGGTTGAATATTTAAGAGCTATTCAAGCAACAGAATTAGGCATCAGAGTTGAAAACGGTAAAGTATTCATATAATTCATTATTAAACTATGATATATAAACAAGGGATACAAAAAAATGTGAACCATACAGCGACGACACCAACAACTAACTCATTCAAGAAAGCTCAACACACGGTAAACACACGGTAAACACATGGGCTCCGTAGTCAGTCTTTGATACAGATTAAGAATGCAGTCAGAGACCGAACTAGTTTTTATTGAACAGTAAATGCGGTAGTTTAAAACGATTAATATATTGGCAGAGTAAATCATATTTTTAAAGTTATGTGAATTTGATGTTAATTTTCTCGTTTCTCCTTCCTTTTCATATTGCTAGAATGTGTTCTAGTAATACAGTCTTCCCTCGTTATATTGAGGCAAAATTTCACACCATCTCATCGTAAAATACTCAAGTATGAAAGTACATTTTTAGATACAGGAAGTATTGTTCAATGCTTATATTTGTCTTATTCAAATATTGATTCATGCTAATTGACAGTTTAAACGAGTTTATGATGTACAATAGTTCAAGTTCGAGTCGTTCTAAATATCAGTTATTGACAAAAAAAAAAAGTAAAACGAATGATAAAAACATTGCATACTGTTAAGCTGTAGTAAAAATCGGGGTTCATATTCAGATCTCATTTGATTTGTTCATCATATTAACCATCGCATCCGGTCATTAGATAAAAAATCACCATCCTCATAACCATTGTCATTTTGCAATGACCGGTACTTACATGGGTCTGCATTAATTTGAATACATACACAATTGCATAAAAAAACCGAGACTACCTATATAAAGACTGGATATATTGAATTCTGTCAATATTAGGGACAGTTATGTAGAATTCAGAAAACAAACCAAACACAATGACTGACAGATGTAATAATCACTGTGTCGCATTTCATGCTATCACATAATTTGTCGCGTACAATCTACACGTGCCAGTCGCCTTCCTGGAACGTGTCTGTGACAGCATATCCGGATCAAAACCATTTCCTTTGAGAGAATTGTTAACTTTTAAACTTAACCAACGACTATGACTAATGTTTGCTACAGTGGTTACGTGTTCAAACGTGTGTTATCAATGTTGCGCGTGCATTGCTCGTTTATTAATACCCGTATAAATGCTGCATATGAATGTGAAAAGTCGATAAATAGTAATGCGCTTCATCTAATATTTCGTCAAGAGTGAAACATGTTTGACAGTTTTAAGTAGACCGTACTTCAAATTATCGTACCAATGAAAAATAATGATATTGATTATACATTCATCTGTTCATGTCCTTAATACATTTACACATGACTAGGCAGGTGTCCTTTCAAAGTGGTGTTTTGAAATAAAACTTTCTATAACATCGACTACTTGTATCACATTGTCAATGTAACAACCTATTTAATTATAATAATGTAAGTCGATAGGTCACGCTGAATCTAAAAGGTAATTTATTTTACAGTAACTATTATGAACGTTTAAATTAAAACAAATATTTTACATTGATAGATATGTTACTCTAGTGTTAGGGAAGTTATTTAGTTTGAAGTTTACTTCGATTACTTCCTTAATATTTCAATGATTTTTCAAGGTGAAGTATGCTAATAAATTAATTTAATATTTTCTAGGTGACTGGTATAGCTCTGATATTTGGACAGATTTTATGCAACATTACCAAACGGGTTACAACGATTGTATTCGTGAAATCATGCGTTATATGATGGACGTCGAAGGCCTGAATGTCCACGACCAGAGATGTGCAAGAATGATGTCGTACTTGCAAACCAGATTTAAGCCTGACGCGTCTGTAGCAGGTGGTATAGCATATAGACAAAGCATATGCAGAAATAACGCATCCATAAAAAGTCTATCATCTTACAAAGGTTGCACTTCTCATTCCTCAAGTCCTCGATTCAGTCCTTATGCTGTAAATCCACGTCTCAGTTCATATGACTTTCCTTTAAATGGAGAATCAAGGGACAGTTCCTTGACGAAACCAACAAACATCTCAACGCCATTTCATTTAATGCCGTCATTCACTGGGTTACTTTGTTTTGCAGACCGAAATCCTTCATCAAAAAGAGACTGAAATGTTCAAGACTTTCTCACTAAGCAATGTAACAATAAAAACGGTGGAGGATTATCCTTAATTTCGAGATGCATCCTATAAATGTGCACCTATTCAATTCTTTTATGTTTACGATCAAGGCATTATTAGAAAATAAATACATTGAAGAATTAATCAGTTCTCGAAAAGTGGTGGTCCGAAGGGTTTGACTACCAAAATTTTTCAAAGAACCGACACAATTTTTGTATTTTGCACTATAAATAATAATGATGACCAGCAGATTTTCTTCAAAGAAAAAGAACACCATGGAGAAAAGATTTCGAGAACTCTGATTGAGACGGCATATAATGTAGACCTTTAGAAACTGTATGTGTTATGATGTAATGTTGACGTTTGGATATGAGTGTCCGAAATGCAAATATGTGTGAGAAGATATTATAGATCTTATAATGCAATAGGACACATGTTAATAGAAATAAATATTAGGAAATGAAATGTATGCTCTTACTTAATAAAGCTGAGATTCACGACCATCAAATTTTCTAGCTATGAACATAGATTCAATTCAAATTGTGGAAAAGATTAAATTGAAAATTGCAGATAGCAATAATATTTCCTATTGACCATTTTTGTATATTTAAATTTATTCATGGTTATAAAGTAACTATGAACCTGTTCATGGGTTCGAAAAGGGTTAAATCATTTATGCGATTACGTTTTTAAAGAAGAGAATATTTGAAACAAATCTTGACACACACACCATTTGAACTAATTTTACAAAAGTTGGGGACACGTCCCTATTTTGTATTGAATTTTCTTACTCACGTGTGACGTACTCTACTTATCTTAAGTATTCTATCCATTGAATCACACAATAACTGTAGTTTTAACGTGCTGCAATTCTCATTCGGATGAAAGTAGGGGACAGGACGTATAAACTATTAATTGTATGATTGCACGGATAAGACCAAGAAAACTTAAAAAAAGGTGAAATATTAAAGAAAAGAAAATTTGACATAAAAAGGGGGAATGGAAAATTGAAGGGGGTCATACCCAAATGGCCTGTGTCTGATATCGGGAACAGCAAGCTTCATGTGTGTAGTTTATATTTATTATATACTTAGTAGTTAATACAGATAAATTTTATGTGTAATACAATTGATGACAATAGTGCTGTATCAGCCACCTGTGATGATATCGATATCAGTCACGGTTGCAAAGGCTTTATCAAACCCCTAATCTGTATGACGTCACGTAATCGATATCAGTCACAGTTACAAATGCGTTATCAAACCCTAATATGTATTACGTCATGTCTCGTGAAAAATACATAAGAGAGATTAGTTGTACTTGAGGTACATATATATAATACAGCGTATATGATATGGCTTTTTCTATATCAAACACCGTATCAAACCTCAACCAATATAATCCCTCTAGCAAAGCTCTTGTGATTATATTGGTGTCTCGGGTTGATACCTCGGGGAGGGGGAGGGGACTTACTATGTAATTAGTGGAAGGGATGAGTCGCTGGAATCGGTCACTATTTCATGCTCCATGATATATAAAAAGGGTGAGAAATTCAAATAAAATATATATCAATAGGTTGATATTATAAAAAAAAAGTCCGTTTGACTTCTATAAATCTTCAGAAAATAATTCTTAAAAATTCATTTTTGCAAATAAACATTTTTTTTCTTGATGTATGTTAATGTATGATATATACAATCTCTGACTATGAATATCATAATTTTGGGCCAATAATCAAAAAAGTTACTCATTAGGTCTCTATGTTACTTCTATTGTTTTCTATATAAAATATTTGATGGAGTAAGTATGAATAGTGTAACAGCCTTCCATTCAAAACAAAAACATTAGACATGTGTTTTAAACCTGTTCCATTGTACCATGTGACTTAACTCATTTAAATATCAAAGGACATTATACATGTCATGAAAAATGACCATCATCTAAGTTTTTTTATAACTGGTTTTATATGATTTTATAAATTAAATGAACTTGCATGTATCTACAAAGATGTTATTTGTGGGAAAAAATATTATTATCAGATGTTTTATTTTGTTTTTATTCCTTACCAAATCTTAACTTTTGTTACCTTAATTTGATTATATATTTATATATATCTTATAAAAGAATATAAGCAAGCTTTTCATGCTTAAAGCATGATGACAGTATTAACAAAATGGAGAGCCTCTAAAAAGTTTCACCAATAAGTATTTACGGAATACATTTAATATTTACTTTTTTCTTGAAAAAACACAGCTTATGACTTTCAAAATATGAAAATAAAATTAGATAAAATATAACCATAAAGACCTTTACTGATGAAAAGGGGAACTATTTAATAAAATTTCTAAACTGAATTTTGCATAAAACTACTTTGTAGTTTTTAGAAATGTTATACTAGTAATGTCCAGTGGAAAATATTACTAAGGTTACTCATAGAAATTGAACAATGAAAATACAAAATCATGTATACAATAAGTTCAGTAATCACATGACATAAAACTTAAATGAAGTCCAAGTTTGTTTGCTAGTCAGCGTTATTTAAATGAGAAAAGTCACATGGCATAATGAAACAGGTTTAAAGCACATGTCTTATGTTTTTGTTTTGAGTGGAAAGCTGTTACACTATTCATACTTACTCCATCAAGTATTTTATATAAAAAAATATTGAAGTAACATAGAGACCTAATGGGTAACTTTTTTTATTATTGGCCTAAAATTATGATATTCATAGTCAGAGTTCGTATATATCATACATTAACATACATCAAGAAAAAAAAATGTTTATTTGTAAAAATGAATATTTAAGAATTATTTTCTGAGGATTTATAGAAGTCAAACGGACTATATCACTTGCTTGATTATATCATAAGTATCTGAAACTAATCAGATGTCAGTATTTATTTTTGGTGCGGTTAAACCACAATCGTAAATGCATCAGCTATTTGTCAAAAATTACTCTAGTTTCGGAAAGAACTGCGCATGTCTAACCTTATTAGTCAAGTTATGAAATCACACGATAGTTCTCGAGAATTCATCAACTGGGGGCATCACCCGATAACGGTTGATAAGCATGCAGTGGCAAAAAATCCACGTATTAGCGTTTAACATTTACACGAGGAGAATTTACACCCAATTTACAATAACCTTGACAAATCTCACTACTAGCCTTGTCTGTAGTCTGCTCGACTGTCTTCTTTACTACTTGATTATCTATTATTGTCCTTTGTATCCCAATGAATTCTTTAGAAAACTATTTAGTAACGCTTCGAATACCGGGAAATTAGTTTGTTTTGTGTATAAAGCTCATCAATTACTTGATTACTCTTTTTTGCCTAATCTTGTTGGCTAATGGATCACATGTAACTCTGAAAGCATGTTTGTTTCGCGTTGATTTTTTCGTTTGAATTGTTTCACATTTTGTCATGTCATGGCCTTTTATAACTGACTACAGGGTATCGGGTTTGCTAATAATGTTGTAGGCCGTATGATTACCTATAGTTGCTGTAATCACCTTTATTTTGACTCTGTATGTTAGGGGACGACCACTTGGTATTCTGAGGAGGGGGTGTAGAATTGTGAAAATTAATAGTCTGGCCTGGTTATGACTTAAAAATAAATAACCTCGCCCAAACAGAATGATAATGTAAATTTTACCCAACACAATGCAGTAAATAAAGGTGTACAAAAGTACAAAGTAATGTTTGCACGTCAAAACCGTACAAAGTTGAAAATTAATTTCCCTCAGAAAAAAATCCACCTTCCCCTAAAATTAGCAACTGGTTGTCCCCTTAGTTTTCTCATTGGCAATCATACCACTTCTTCTTATTTTATATATGTCTTTCAAAGAAACAATGCAACAAATTGAAATATATAAGTATACCATAATTGAAAGGACAAAGGTTATTCTGATCCATGAAAGATACTACATTAAGTGCACTATGTAAAAAAAGACGACAATGACGAATGACGGACGTGTACGGGTAGATAATAAACTATATATGCTAATTTCACATTATTTTATATATGACCTTGGCATAAAGATACTAGTATACAGACGTTCCTAACGGACTATAAATAGAAATAGACTTTACGGACATTCAACAGTAGTAGAAAAGGCTATAGAGGTTCACAAATATGCTTCCAATGCCACCAACACGGAAAACCTCCTTCATGGGCCATTTGGAATTGAATATTTCAATATTTTAGGTGGACCTTCAAATGGATTTCATCTCGTTGACTTTTTTCTAATGCTTTACATGAATTAGATTGATTTGGAAAATATTGCTTACGTTCAGGGGCCACTGTTGTCATGAACAATTGTGGCTTTCACCACAGCAGATTCGCCGAAAATACCCTTATATTTATTTTGGGACACCGTCATAAAGATTTATCATATCAACCTCTATATCACACAGACTTGAATACATGTGAAGTATGTTTTAATGTAATGAGACTATTTGCATAGTCATATGAATTACGCACGTGAATGGACCGAGATGGCTATATGTGACGGTCTAGAAAAAGTTACAGCGTCGAAGTCTATTTCTATATTTCGTGGATGTGGTTATTTGTAAAAAGACTTGCTGTACTTAGTATATTATACATATCCTTATAATCAATTCATTTAAATTTGTACATGTGATTCTTTTGTAAAATGTAATTTTTTTTAGGGGAGGGCGATGGTACAGAGATCTATTAAAAATATAATAGGGAAAAGGAACTTCATATCATTGCTTATTTATAAGTCTGACATAAGGTGAATACTACTATGCCCCAACCAGTTAGATAAAATAAAATTTAGTCAGATGCTAGTAGACATTTGCGGAAACTGTCATACACCTACGATTAGGATTACAATTACACGTTCAGGTAGCATTTAAATTTTGGGTCGTCTCAAAGCGTAAATATAAACCAGTCTCAATTTACCATCGTTCCAAAAAAAATTCTAGCTCATATGATGTTTTTCTATAGTTGAACAACAGGGATTTTAAGAAATATATGAAGTATTATATACACATTAATTATTGTACATGGTGTTATCCAGGTTCAATATGCTGTTAATATAAGGAGTATGATAGAATGGACAATCAGCATTTAATTCATTTTACATGAGACATTAAAAAAAAATCGTATTGTCGTTGGCTAGGTAGGGACAATTATAAATTAATTTCAACAAGACTTTAGTGTAAAGAAAGGACGATCAACTAAGGGGCATGTTGACATATTAAATTTTATGCTAAGACATATAGTTTCCATATTTTTTTTAAAAGAAAATGAGGGGATTCAGAGGTTGGATGCTTAAGAACTATTTATTCTTCATGGCATTTTACTTGCCGTTCGGTATATTTTTATTATCTTTTATTTTTTCTGAATTGAGCAAAAACTTTTGTCAACGTTTTTTGGTATAAAAAAATCAATGATCATCTTTGCATCGAATATATAATTTAAAATATTCATCAGATTCTATTGCAAGTAAAATAGGAGTACTCAAATAG